CGAGATGGATATAATGAGTCCATAATTTTTAGTTTATCCATATAACCCAGAGAAAAATTACAGATCTCTAAACCTGCCAGATCAGAGCAGGGTGTTGAGCCATTTTGATTTAAAGTAATTGGAAAGATTGTTTGTTTTTATCTCTGCCCTTGTGTTACTGCAGAATGTGATAGGGAAGCAGAACGGCTCTCCTTGCACACCAAGGCCTTAAGACTGTTGCCCGGGGGAACAATGGAAGAATTGAAAAATAAAAATAAAAAAGTAGGCTGGCTTGGCCTTCCTGGCATAAATATCCCTTTTAGGACATCCTCTTTTACCAAGGGATCAAGATGACCCCTTTCTAGCGCTAGGCTCGAACTTTTTCATTTTGAATTTTTTTAAAAAAAAAATTAGCTATTAAATTTTGCATTTTTAGCTCCTCTTCAATCAGTTCACATTTTGCATTTTAATGATTTTACTTTAAAAACGAGTGCATGTGTTTCGGCTGCAATGCCTAGCAGCATGTTTTCCTTTAACTCTGTCCTTGGGGATGAAAAAATTGTTTTTGAGTACCATACGTAAATTCGGCCATCCCTGGGTCAGAGGTCCTAAATTGAAGCACTGAGTCTTGGCATCTATGATGGCAGTTTTGACTGGGCCGTCCTTCCTCTACACCAGGGGTAGGCAACCTTGGCTCTTTTATGACTCGTGGACTTCAACTCCCAGAATTCCTGAGCCAGCCATGCTGAGGGGAAAGAGAGAGGTTTCCAAGCTGAGCCATTCTGGCTCAGGAATTCTGGGAGTTGAAGTCCACGAGTCATAAAAGAGCCAAGGTTGACTACCCCTGCTCTACACTGTAGGTTCTTGTCTTCTCTATTGCTGCCGTTCTCTGAAACTTGATAATAATCTTCCCTGTCTTCAGTCTGATCTTGGAGATGCAATGGACAGATGTCTGTGTCCTAATGATAATCTGGATACTCTGATTTTAAAGATGAAATGCAATGTCTGAAAGATACGTAAAAGGAGCCCTGGGGTTATGGTTGATGCCTACGGAATATAAAAATCATAATAAAGACTGTTAGTATGTTCTTTGGTATAGTTCATATTCTGTTTTTGTAGCGTCTCTTTTCTGTATTCCATATTTTTTTTTTTGTAAAATTTTGCCATGTCTGCTCATTGAGCACAGCATGTTTCTGTAAGAAGGAGCAAGTATCCAAAATAAAGCTGTGGGTTTTTTAAATCATAATTTTGAGAAAATAAAGGCCCAATTTTAATAACACTATCTTTCAATCCTATGCTTAGCTTAGTTCCGCCCAACACCAGGCAAGAGTATTATCCAATGATTTTGGTTGACTGCAGTGGCTTCTGCTTCAGTAAAATGGAACTTTAGAAGTTGAAAAGACCCTGGTGTGTATCAATTATATTTCCTCACTTTTGAGAGTGGATTACAACTCCCAGCTGACCTAGTTGATCTCAGAAAAAGCCAAGCATGATTTGGATGGAAGATCACCAGTGGCTAAACTGGGAAGTGAAAAGAAAATTGAAGCAAGCTATCTCGATAGGTTTGCCAAGGAAATTAGAGTATTTATTATACTGTAGATAAAAAGCAGAGTTGAATTTGAGACAAGATAGTCAGTCTCCCTTTTAATTGTGAAGAAAATGGGGGAATCTAAACAAGGTATGAACCTTGGCTGTAGTCTGTCAATTGAAGCAGCCTTTTCCAGCCTTGCACATCTGGATGTGTTAGAACGGACACCATTCTTCCATGGTAGTGGAGGATGGGAATTGGAGTCCAGGTTACCTGTAAAACATTAGCTGGCAAACTGCATTAAACCATGGGCCTTTTGGCTGGTATTTATGAGGTACGGCTTTTCTCGCTTCAGGTGTGCGAGTCATTTGTTTTATTTCTTGCTCATGCAGTCATGGAACTGAAATACGCTGATGTCATCTCATACATATTATGGGATGGACCAGGGGTCAGATTTTTGCTTGGGAGTGAACGAAAAATGTCAACAAATGACTTGCTTTCTGCTTGCTGAGCTCAATCTGGCTAATGCTGCTTCTACCAGGGGAGCCAAAGTAAAAAATACTGATGGCAATATTAATGGATATTTCAGAGATATTGCCATTTAACTGTAGTTATTATCCCTTTCAATTTTGTTATTCTGTTAGCTATAGTCGTAACATATTTTATTAGGGGGGATCAAAAAACATACCAACACAATAAGCCAACATAAATCCATCCATGCTGAGAGTGATGAAGACATTTTGAATATTTATGAGGTTAGAAACACCATTACTGGAATCTTTGTGATCTTAAAAATCTAATTAGTTTACTATCGGATGCACTGCTGAATTTCTCATTTCCAAGAAATTTTCTTGATTATGTACCATCGAGTTGTTATTGACACCTAACTTAGACTTTCTCTGAATTTTATTTACATAGACCTTTTCTCTCTTTCTCTCCAACTAAGCTAGAACGGTAGATAGACATCAGATGGAGATGAGATAATTATTATTGGTTTGCAGGGTGAACACAAACTCTGATGCTTATTAAACTCACATACAGCAGTAGTACTGTAAGTCCAAGATCCTGGAGTTCCAGTGCCCCCTGCTGGCTGTATTGGAAATATTGGCCTATAGATTTGTAAAAAAAACAACTGGGAGATAAGTTGATTTATCAAATGCACTCTGCAAATAAAAAAATAATTATCTTAAAAAAAGGGAAATGTGCATAACAAGATATGAAAACAAAATGTCACAATGATGTGATTTGATAGCAGTGTTCCAATATCTCAGGGACTGCCACAAAGAAGAGGGAGTCAAGCTATTCTCCAAAGTGCCTGAAGGCAGGACAATAAGCAATGGAAACGTATCAAGGAAAGATCCAACCTAGAACTTTGGAGAAATTTCCTGTCAGTGAGGACAATCAGTGGAATTACTGGCCTTCAGAAGTTGTGGGTGCCCCATCACTGGAGGCTTTCAAGAAGAGATTGGACAGCCATTTGTCCGAAATAGTATAGGGTTTCCTGCTTGAGCAGGGGGTTGGACTAGAAGAGCTCCAAGGTCCCTTCCAACTCTGTATTCTAAATATCAGTAATGAACAGTAACATGTTGTGCTTTCGAGGCAGCCTTGGCTCCTGGCAACTGCCTGAATAAGTCCCTGCAATTTTCTTGGCAAGTTTTCAGAAGTGGTTTGCCCTTATCTTCTTCCTAGGGCTGAGGGAGGGTGACCAGCCCAAGGCTAGGCAGCTGGCTGTGTGCGTACATTTCCCAGTTTCTCCCTGGTGCCTTACCCACTACACCAAACTATTTGGGGAAATAGGAATTGGAGAAAAAAATGGCAGCAGGGAAAGGGCACCATTCAGCAAGAGAAGAGAATATTTGTAGGTTCAAAAGAAATGTTGCAGGAGACTGTTAGTTACCACCTTTAAAGCGCTCCATGGCATAGGACCTGGCTACCTCCGAGACCGCCTTCTGCCACAGATTCCCTCCCATAGACCGGTACGCTCCCACAGAGTGGGTCTCCTCAGGGTGCCGTCGGCCAAGCAGTGTCGGCTGGCGACCCCCAGGGGGAGGGCCTTCTCTGTGGGTGCCCCTGCCCTCTGGAACGA